AAATAAATTACAAACGAGAAAAAGCGACAAAATCTCTCATTTCCTGAGAGTAAAAAGAGTAATTTCTAATTTTGTCGTCTGCGTCGGTGATACAAGAGACAACACCTTTAATTAATCCAGTTAAGAGAGAAACCAAACATGCAATTTGACCTGGAACGAAGCGGCGCGGCGGTCGGCATGAAACGCATAGCGCCTACAAGACTGCATGAATACTTTACGCATTGCGCCAAACAGTGTGGTCAGCAGCGGTCGGCGTGAAACGCATAACGCCTACAAGACTGCATGAATACTTCATGCATTGCGCCAAACAGTGCGGTCGGCGCAGCGGCGGACGTTAAAATTATTAACCACATTTATGTTTGTTCTTTCATAATTTTTTCGTTCGTTTTTTATGAATGGAAGGCCTTGTCCAAACAGGGATGGGTTTACGGAACTGAACTTTTGTTAGTGTTGACAGGGCTTTCACAAAAAATGTGCCCAACACGAGTAAACGCGTCTCATACACCCCTCCGCCACCGGCACGTTCACTTGTTGCTTTTTATAGATCGTATTCAACAGATCACACAGGCGAGATTATATTGATATCGATTGGTTCAATATGTAACCACAGCCTCAAAAGTCAATTTAGAAATCTGAGGTAACGGACCTTATGTGATCGAATTTTTATCGTCTCGAGTACCAAATGGTAATGGAAGGGATCGGCTGGCTAAGCAGTGACAAATTACGTGCTTGGCGAAGGGCATCTCAATCCTCTGTGCACCAAAATAAAAAAACTCCTTCAAAATGACGGGCATGCAATCTCACGACGATTGTGTTTGAATGGTTGTCTCTCCGTTTCAAGGTCTTCTGCTCTTGATCTAGAGAGGCCTTTGCTTGGGCTTTTTACCAAACGATCTGATGAAACGAAACCAGCTATTAGCTGCACTGTAAACACGTGAAAACGGCATGGGATTCGCTTTAAGGTATGCGCTGGCGATACCGGCTACGCGACATTCATCGTCGTTTTGCAACGAGAAATAGTTCTGCGAGCTCCGGCGCACAGTGGATCAATTCAAGTAGATAGCTCGGACATCTAATTTTTGACTGCAAAAACTACAAATTCTGATGTTTACTTCGTCACATTTTAAACTTTCAGGGGTGCTTCCAGAAGAAAATTTCACGAGAAAACCTATGGAACCACTTTTAGCGCCTTGAAGTTTTGTATAAACGAAGTTATAAGCATTTGAAGTTTCCAAATGTTGTCTGACTTCTCCTATATTGACTCGATCCCTCTGTGCGGCGATGCCGTCATTAAGGACAACGGGGCTGCCGTGATGCACGTGATAACGGTCGGGGTTTTCTGGCACCAAATACAGACGATCTTCAAGCGAGCACGTCTTAAGCCAGTCGTGGATTATTTAAATTCTAAAACTTCTTTTTACCAGTCAGTTGCGCGCTTCGCAGAATTTTTTTGAAGGTTTAAACTTAACTCCCTTGAAAATGAGAGTTTTGAGACGTGAAATCAACTCTCTGATCCCTCGCGTTTAAACTTCGGTAGCGTCACGAATAGATGGATGAATTACATTTTCAGCGATGGCAACACTGGAAAAAAAACATATTGGATCTTAAGTCCACACTCTTGAAAACATTGACAAGAAAAAATACTCTTGATTCAGTCAGATTTTTGCTTAAATCAAAAGGAAATCCGCTCAAATTAAGAGGCTTATTGGTTCTTGATTTAAGCAAAAATCCGATTGAATCTAGAGTATTTTTTCTCGTCGATGTTTTTAAGCGTCTGGACCCTAGATCCAATGTGTTTTTTTTCCAGTGAAAGATTGCATTGTGGAGGAATGGAACGAGGAAAATTAGAGAGGATACATACACACGAAAAGATAGGGGCGAACCCAAAAAGATCAATGGAAGAGGGGCAATTTTTCAGTGAATTAACATTAAGAGACATCAGCTCTTGCAAAATATTATTGCACTTTTTCCTCATGCAAAAGAACGATCATACCAATTGGACTACGATTTGCAATTCGGAACAACAATTTCAACATCATCCGTAAAAAACACTTGCAGGTATATAAGGAAACTAATGGTACATACGTTGTTCTACGCTGAGCTAGAATGTAGTTCTTTATTGCGAAAAGTAGACTCATTACTTTTTATTGAAAATTTTGCAAAGTTGGCTTCATGCCACAGGAAAAATTTCCTGAACTTTTCTAAGAATCGATACAACCCACTGCATGACTCTTATCATCAAATAAATTGTCCCAACAAATTCAGCAATAGCTGATGTTACTTGATTCTCTGTCGGGGAACACTGTCCGTCATGTTTGAAACTTACAGATCAGTAAATGATAACAGGAACTGTGCAAATGGTTTAAAAACCATCAAATAAAAAAACAAGAAAAATTGTGCACTGGAAAAAAACACATTGGATCTAGAGTCCAGACTCTTAAAAACTTCGACAAGAAAAAATACTCTTGATTCAATCAGATTTAAGCTTAAATCAAGAACCAAGTCTCTTAATTTGAGCGGATTTCCTGTTGATTTAAGCTTAAATCTAATTGAATCAAGAGTATTTTTTCTTGTTCATGATTTCAAGAGTCTGGACTCTAGATCCAATGTGTTTTTATTTTTCCAGTGTACTTGAAAAAAGTACAAATCCAACAGGGTAGTGCAGATCAGTTTCACTGAGGTTACGACTTTGCATCAACATTATAATCTCTTGTGTTACAATCAATTTTAATGCTTCCGTTTTAGTGACTTGTCTCTACTCCCTGCTGTACCAATCCTAACTGATACATAACCACACTGCGGTTACTCACTGATAATAAGTGGACATTTTCTCGGCGATGACCTCAATACTTGACTAATAATAATTGCTATATGACTAGCCTCCTCTGCCATGCTAAGGAAGAACGCCGTATGAGCCCTCAATTTCAGGCGTTGTCAAATTTCCTCTACCAAATCACTAATCTTCAGGAAAATTCTTGAACCTTTTTCTGCCAATTCCTCAGATAATTTTGTTTGTAATTCGATCTAAAGTGTCTGAAAATTTCAAGAAAAGATAAACATAAATTTCCTCAAAAATAAGCATTTCATCCAAGGAACTTTGGCAACACTCGAATGTATATACGGGCTCTTTCTTAGCACGGCCAGGGCACGACAGTCCTGACTCATTGTCAATCAGGACGAAAGATACCTCCTTCATCTTATGACGTGAAACGCTCTAGAAGAAAGAACGCCATCAGTGTCAAGTCCCCAAAAATTGAAGATCAATAAATTTATTTGCACTCTTATCTTGCTCTTTTCACCGACTAATTTCTGGCGATGAAAATATTTGAAATCACAGTAGCTTTTTTTATTCATTCATTCAACTAATTGAGAGCCGGTTCCTCAAGATATGAGTTCGACCGGAGTTCGACCCCTCATTAGTTAGTCATTCCTCTTGGCATTTAATGGATTCTGGCGGATCAAGCTAGGATTGCTCACAGAGTCTTGCAAACGAGACTACTGTCAATCAGGGATGCAACAGAAAAGTTCAGTCCTAAATTTCGATCAATCTTAAAAGCTGAGCTTTCAAGTTTTCTACGGTTGGAGGGATTTTCTTCGAGAAATATAAAAGCGAAAAATTCCAGTTTTTAGCGAACTGTCTATTGGGAATCTGAGTCTCTTTTTTCGAAAATACTAACAATATTTAACAATGTTTGATGACTCAGAAAAAGCATTAGTATTATTAAAATACTAGGGGGTTATGCCCCTGGCCGCTACGCGGCCCAGCCTCCGGAGGGCGCTTCGCGCTCTCTTAGGCCCGCGTCGACAAAAGAACGACCAAAAAAATGAAACGATTTTCTACCCGACTCTCAATTGTCTAATCTCCCTCTGGCCAGGAGCAATTGGACCAATAAGAATTGCAAACTTCACGCCGAGACTGAAACGAAACGAAACGAAGCGTTTCGTCGCTTTTTGATAATCTGTAGCAAAGGAGGGTACCGTCAATTATTTACTTACTCTACTAACAGACCAAGACTGAACATTTCCCGCTTGGTTCAAATTTTGCCCCCCTTCCTAAGCTCTCAGGTCTACTCTTGTATAAAAAAAAACCTGGGTCATATTTTCAAATTCTGATTACAGTGGGCTCATCTAGGGGCTATCACCTGTATGGGAATCGGCCCAGTAGAATGCTCAAACGAACTATGGCAACGAATAACAATTCACATTGTTTAAATCAGAGAATTTGCAACTTTACCACGCAATATAAAAAAACCTGGGTCATATTTTCAAAATCTGAATATGGCGAGCTCATTCAGAGACAATTGCCTGTCGATAGCCGCAAAAATCATGAAAGTCGGCCCGGTAGAACGCTGCAACTAAGCGTATACCAGATATGAAAATTTAGGAGGTCTCGGAGCTTACAGCATAGATTAGTAGATTACCAATAAAAGGTGAAAACAATTCACTTTATAGCAACAATTGAGGGAGATTTCGTGATGTTTCCAAATTTTTATGAAGTTTGGAGGGTTCCTAAAATGTTGGAATATTCACTGAGGTTTCAATCAACATTACACAGCTGGTCAGCATTATTGAAGCCTCGAAGGAATGTCATGGGTAGGTAAGTGATATTTTTACAGACGATGAAAGATAAGATGAACAGGCAAATTTTAACAAAACTTCTTCCTAAAGAACACTTTGGAAATCTCGACTTTCAAAATTCAATTTCTGGTTCCGCCGCAACCGTTTTTAAACTTGTTATAATGCTTATTGAAAACTCAAAATCATTTGTAAAGCCCTACATTAGCTTTTCTTAAAATCTCAAAACTATTGCTTATTTACTTCATTCATATTCCTCAAAAAGAAAGGAGAAATAAAGTTTATCAGTAAATAAATATTAAAAGATCAAAAGAAAAATAGTGACGAAGAGATAGGAATTTGAGGAGAAAGCAAATGCCTCCTTCCTCAGCTTGGTTATCTTATCAGAGGCTCCAGTTACTTACAGTTCACGGCTGACTGTATTTTTGCAGAGCTGGTCATTAAGTCCGACTTGGCACCCTCAGCCAACTTGTGGCCTCTACTTTTCATTTGGATTGTGGCGCAGTTCAACTTCTGTTATGAGTAGCTATACAAATGCTTCACCATTAAAAGTTATTTCGAGTGAAGTGACTGTTAACTAATAGGCCTTCCGAAGTAAGTAAAGATAAGTTTTTTCTTCTGAGATTCAAAATTTCAGTTTTTTCTCCTTATCCTAGACCTAGAAGAGTTTTTTTCCCAAGGATTCTCGATAAAGTTTGCAATTTTCGTCTCGAGGAAAGTGCCGTTTCTAAACCACAATTGACTCTAGTGCTGTGAGTATTATTTTAATAACGAATCCGCCGATGCCATTGATTTCTGAGCGTTGCTACCCAACCGTCTACATTGCGCTATTCGGGTTTTAGAGTATTAAGTAATAAACATATTCATATTGAGTAGATATTCTTGACAGTTATTGATAAAAGGAGTACTTTTTTGCCCCTAAAATCATTAATAGAAGCAACTGATTTGTTTCATTACGGTTTTCGTGTTAGTAAATGCGGAGCTTGTGGTACTTACAGGTAAGATTTTACTACTTGTAGGAAGAAAATTGTTGGAAAGTAAAAGCCATATAAAAGTTCAAGTTCCTACCAAAGACTACTGAAACCGCGTAAGTGCTGCTCAGTATTCAGTAAACCCGCAAACCTTTAAGTGTACAGAAAGCTCCATAAGAAAGCTACATTTTAAATAAAAGTTCATTGAGATTTGTAGAAATGCATTTAAGGTTTCCACTTTGAAATATTGCAACGTCGCGACCTGGCGCTTGTAAGCAAAACCACGGCCAGATACGCGTCTCTGCAGATTCATTATAAGGCTATACTGCCGTGCTGAGGGAAAACGCCGTTTGAACCTTCAAGCGTTGCCAAATTTCCTTTGGCAAATCGCTAATTTATAGAAACACTTCTGAATATTTTTCGGTCAATTTCTCAGATAATTTTGATCGTAATTTGATCTAAATTTTCTGAGAATGCCAAGGGAAAATATTCATAACTTTCCTCAAAAATAAACATTTTATCGGAGAAAATTTGGCAACTCTCGAATGTTATACTCTCGAATACGACGTTCTCCTTTAGCATGGCAGTATAGGTGCCGAAAGTTCGCCGAAGACTTTGGGCTTAAAGCTGTTTCAGGACAATCCTTTCCCTTCTTTAAAAAAGTTAATTGGACTACATTTTGCAAACAGGAACTATACTTTCTAGCTCAGTTTAGAAACAACGTATGTGCCATTAGTTTCCGTATTCACATAAGTGTTTTTACAGATGAGTCAGAAATTATAGTTCCGAATTGCAAAATGTCGTCCAATTCAGAATATAGATGAGTTCTATGTCTTTACTGCTAAGCAATATTACCAAGCAAATGTCAAATTCTCCCGTTTGTTCACAGATTTGTTGTCATCCAGTATCTGGTCAAAAAACGGAGCTCAAAATCGCATCTCACACGTAACATCACTAGGTGTTCTTCTCTACTTCCGTACAGCCACGCAACTGCGTACATCGTTTTGCTGTGATGTATATCTGCCATCGTAAAAACTTACTGTGTGTGCTATTGCATAATTAACATTAAAAACTGGCCGATTAGCTTCTCCTTGAAGTGTAAAATTGTACTCTTATATATTAACTATTGAGGTTTAATTGGAACTTGATTTACTGTAATTCTTTCATTGCAATATGTGTGATAGCTCTCTAGATCCTTTTAAACTTGAAGAATTGCCATGGCATATTTTGGATGACATTTTTGCTCGTCTAGAGATTCGGGACTTGTTGAAGGTCGGTTTGGTGTGTAAATCGTGGAACAGCGCAGTGTCGCAAGAAATTTCGCGCAGAGGGCCGACACCGGAACGGGCCTTGATCCCACATACTTTTGGCGATAGGTACAAATATCCAGACCCCCAAGTTCTCAATATTTTTAACATGACGCATTTGTCGATATTGTTCATTGGTCCATGTAGTACGGACCGCTCTTTGAAAAATGCCGAGAGAAATATATTGAAGCGATACAGCCAACATTTCGATAAGAATGTGATCGCGGTGGGTGTTGTAAACTGTTTTGAAGATATAACCCACATCAAAAGTTGTCCCGGTGTGCTGGGTCAACCGGATGGAATTTTGGGCCTATTTCTTCCTAAATGGTGTACTTTAAAAATAAAAATAGCCTATATCGCTACCGGAAATGATTACGTAAGTTTCTTCCCAAAATTATTACCAGATAATAGAGCGGAGAAATCTACATTTTTAATTTTTGCACGTCCATCTTCGGGCGTAGATGGACTGTGGTTGAAAATAAAACAAAATCTTACACCAAAGACTTACGCCCTATGGGGTGGTACTTTTGATGAGGATTTACGATTCATGGTACCACTGGACGAGACGCGAGGGGGTAATCGGCCCATCCACAAAGCTCAGATTTTAGGAGTGAACATCTACGGGTCGAAAATGCAGTCCTGGTCAATTGTCATTGACTGTAAAATCCACGAGGACGAATTGCATGAGCGATTGTTACGATTCAGGGATGTTTTGGAGTTGAAGCGCAAAACGATAGGTTTAGCTTGCGGACCGACATATATGTACAGAGACGATTCAACTGGTGTGAATTACCACGTTGAACGGTATGCAATCATGAACGCTATTAGGAGAATTTTCCCCGGGATTCCGTTCATCGGGGCGTTCAATGATGGAAATCATGGACACTTTGGGGTTGATTCTACGAGTGACGATCCCAACCAGAAATTTTCGACGCCATGGTCTGTTTCTTTGCTTGTCATGACTTTCGATTAGTCGCAATTTTGTAACCGCTGAAAGTGGATTATATTTCTTACGTTAGATTATACTTCTCTCTCTAAGAATATAAGCTTAACTCTATTGAAAATATTAAGTAAATTTTTGATCATGTATTTTAGACATAAATCAATTCCACAGTTTATGAGTAATAAAATGTTAAATATTAAAGGGTTGTTTGCATTATTTTAATTTTCAATTTTATGAGATGTCTCCCATTTTAGGATGCGGCTGGATCACATTGAAGTTGAGAAAATTGACCGACAAAAATGTAACTTTTATGGCTCACAATTAGTGAAGAATCATCATGGAGTCAACAAAAGAATAATATGCATTTAGATATTTCTGAGAAATGAGGCTCCTAGGTTTAAAAATTAAGAAGAATTTTATAGCATGATGGGCAAACGTTGAAATAAAACGGTGATAGGTAGTGTCAAAATTTCACCTCTGCAAATAATAAATCCTCACTCCAAGGAAAGCCAACTGGTTTGATTCCTCCACGATTTCGCCTCTAAAATTTCAAACCTTCTGCAAAGGTCACTCAAAAGAAAAGTGAGAGCTTATTCATTGATGGGTTGGAAATTCTTGCGAAAGGTCAGGCTCCAGAATTTACATTTTAAGAAGGGCGTTAGGGACCTAGCCTGTCCGTTTCAGACGATCCGATCAAAAAGGAACAAGTATGAACACATCGACAAACGAAACTGCTGCTTGTTCGACGTGAATATTTCATAAACTGCATGCAGCAATGCCACTTGTAGGGGTTACTTTCACCCAAATTTCATTCCGAAGAGCGAAGATAAATACATGGATGAGAACCTGTTCTAAATACATAAAAATTGCATTTTCAAGCAGAATAAAGAACCTTCTCTTGCTTTTGTGCGGGGGATAAAAGGAAAAAAGAGAAACATATTTAATTAATCCATTTTCCTATCTTTCCTAAAACTATGATAGGTTTTTTTCTTCTTCATTGAATCGGGACGGGGGAAAACCGCCAATGTCCATTTTTCCAGTCTTCAGTTTTTTTGCGTTGATAATACTTTTCAGAGTTGGATGCAACCACGAAAGTGGCGTCTTCGGGTTACTTCGATCCCAAAACAAGTCTTTTCATCATTTTTATGGCTGTATCAATTCTTTAAAAGTATTATCAACTCAAAAAAAACTATAGACTAGAAAAATTGATAATAGCTGTTTTCGCACGCGTCGATTCAATTCATCTAACGTCCCATTTGTGGCGATACAGAGAACTGCGAACCATGACCTCACCTCAATTAAATCTAAGAATTAAGGAATCAAACTAGGTTAAATTTTGCAATAAAGAGCAGCTATTTCTGGTTCATTTTAGAAACATCATAATGTGCATTAGCTTCCCTACGAAGATAGGTGCTTTTATAGATGAGCCATAGAAATAGTGGTTCCTTATTCTTTCGTGCTAAGGAAAAACGCCAAATGAACATTCGAGAGTTGCTGAATTCCTTCTCAGAAAGTAGTTATTTGTGAAGAAAGCTGTGAATATTTTTTCTTGAAATGTTCAGGAACTTCAGGTGAAATTGCCGACAAAATTATCTGAAAAATTGGAGGGACAATATTTACAAATTTTCCCGAAAATTCGTGATTTACCAAAGGAAATGTGGCAACGCTTGAAGTTTCATACGGCGTTTTTCCTCAGCGCAGCAGTATTGCAGAATGTAGTCCAAATATGGTGAATCTGGCGGCACCGGCGCTGCAAGAGCAACTATCTAGACACGCAAATTAAAAGCGCAAATTCGATACATTCTTTCGCTACGTTTGACTTATTCTCGACACGGGTTCGACGAGAGGAACCTTGAGACAGAACCGGTATACGGACGAAGAATAAAAATAAATATTCCGTCAAACCGTGCGAAGACCAGATAGGTCTTTACGAACGCACCACTGGCGTTCGGATTCCAGAGCGGCAGAAGTCGGGAGCTCCGCCCTGAGGATGTTAACCACATACAGCTGGAGGTGCTCGAAAGTCCTATAGGTCGTAAACCACTTTCGTTCTTCTTCCGTTGCAACTTAAGCGAGATCGTATGCAGTCGGTAAACGGGTGGAAATGTTTTTGAGGGATTTCGATCGTTTGTCTATTTCGTTCGAGAGTGAAAGTCCTGGAGTGCACGATGGACTTGAACTTTCTTCGAGGTCGCCGAAAATGAAAATATGTATATTCGGTAAAATTACGTTCACAGTTGTTCCCAGTGAGGTTCTTACTTGACCGGGAAGTAATGGACTAATTTGCTCCTTGTCCCACGCATGGAGGGTCAACTTTCTGTTCCTCATCTTGGAATGCCCGTAAAATTGTCACCCCTCTGACGTTAGAGCGAACCTTAATTTCTACTTGAGCCCTGTTTTACACGTAAATTCATGCTCTCTTATGCTCATGCGAAAATCAAGATACGCCCTTAAGTCAGAGGAGCGACGAAGAGCCCATAAAAATCAAAGCTTACGCTTCAAACTGTCGGTGAGCGCATGTGTCTTTGTAACAGCTGTTGTGACAAATTAACACCAAGTGCAATTATACATCGATTATACGTAGGTCCCGGATTTATTTTTTTATAAGAGTTAGTGGCGCTCATTTTGCATCTTAGTAGTGCACCCATTCCGTGACCGTGTGCAGTTCCGGGATTAGGAACTCTTTTGCTCGGATTTCTCCCACTTAATGACCGTCAAAAATTCCGGGATTTCTTTCAGATTTTTTCATAAGATCCGAGAAAGTTTCAGAAAATGTAAAAGTTCCGAGAAAGATCCGGAAAATGCAAAAGATCCGGAAAATTTTGGGAATTTCACAAGTTCTGGGAAAAATTCAGGAAAATCTCATTTCAAAGCTTCCGGAATTCGGAACTAGTTCCAGGAAATGGGAAAACTGCATCTTAGGGCATTGCATTTTTAATTCCCTATCCGCATTATATTGTTGTTTCCTATTCGAATACAAAATTAGGGACATTGCCTTGATTTTTTTAATGTAGGTATGAATTCTCCTGAGACACTCAGTCCACCTATAATAACGACGAACGTGGGCAAGGAACATTGGTCAGGAATCGACTGGTAATCTTTGGACTATCAAAAAAAAAAAAAAAAAAAAAAAAAAAAAAACTGCTCTTCGAATTTACACTTTTTGTACCAAGATATACGGATGAATAAAAATGTGTACTTAAATGAGCTTCTATAAGTAAAGTACAACTTGTCAACACAGAGTTCGAAAATTTGGGGTCAAATGCGTTATTCCGCGGAAAGCTTGCGAAATTTGTGGACATTCTAGCCCTTACGAGGGAGTGCGTCTAATAATCATTCCCTTGAGGGAAATTATTGGTCATGAGTGCTGCCATGCTAAGGAAGAACGCTATATGAACATTCGAGTGTTGCCAAATTTTCTCCGATAGAATGTTTATTTTTGAGGAAAATCATCGATATTTTTCCTTGAATCTTTCAAACTTTATTGTATAATCACAGGCAAAATTAAGCTCCCGTGAAATTGGAATAAAAATATTCACAAATTTTCTTGAAAATTAGTCAACGCCTGAAGGCTCATACGGCGTTTTCCTTAGCACGGCAGAGTGGGTGGGTGGGTGATGCGGTCCTCCTATTTGGAGAAAGCAATTGCATCACTTCACAAGTTCAACTTCGGACGGAGCAGAATCGATTAAAAGACATCATTAAGTAAGGTAAGGCACACGCCCGTTTTATATTTAGCAATAAGCTCGGCTTTTAAATCAAGTTTGATTCTTGGTAATAATCAGATCGAGAAAAGAGTCATTAATAAGATGGAATAAGACATTATGCGCTAATTGCGCAAATATAAGGCTAACTTGTTCGGCCGTTAACTCTCAATGCTGGAGGCATTGCTTTCATTGCAGATGTGATTTTATTACCTCTGTTTTTTGTGCCTTTGAGTAATTACTTTCGAGAGGTTCAGTGTTCACCTGAGTTTCATTTTCTACCGGTAAAAGTCGTCAACACTCACGCTTGCAGAGGTTGGGATAAATAGATTAATCTGCCATTTGAACCAATGAAAAAGGATCGATGAACAGGATGTTCGCAACGAGCATTTCAATAATCGATTCTTTACAATAGTTTCAAATGAGGAAATATCGTTAATCGATCATTCACGCCTTACCATAGCTACCACCAAGCACTCCGGCGTGCATTCAAATTCCTAAACAGCGACACAAAAAGACCTCATTGTCAGACTGCAATGAGAGGAAAGTACGTCATTTTTTCAAACTTTACTTTTAACAAGGACAGAATTACCTAAATTTTATTCAGTTTGCTTGAACAGCAGATGAACTATGGCAAGCAACCGTTGGCTACATATCTGCTTAAGACGGTAATGTGTGACGCGATCCGGTCGTTTATTTTCAAAGGAGCCAGTGGTATATGATAAAGAGTCAAAATTTCATTTCTTTCTTGCACGGAAATCCAATTTGCAGATCATAACGAAACATTTTAACAGTTTCAAAATCAAACTTTTGGCCATTACTCTTAACCATCAGAAACAGGCACCATGGAAGGGTATGTTTCTTGGTCCATAGAAATCAATCTCAACTCAGTGATCAAAGTTGTGGCCCTAATTGGAATGCGATACAGAAGGATGAAAGGAGCATCAATTTTTTTCAAAATAAAAAAAAATCATTTTCCATTATCATGAGACTTTTTTTTTATAATTTGACCCCCGCCCCATGGGAAATACTTGATCATGGACCTAATTTGCTGCAAAATTTCCGGTGACGAGACGCTGGAAATGGTTGAAGTGTAATTATGACCGCGGGCTTGACTTTGAATAATTAATCCTCATAACATCACACGTCACATCTGTTGTTTGCTTTTGAGCGGGCGTCTAAAAAATGATCTATATTCGGTCCGCGGAATTTGTTTCCACTCAATTAGTTCCGATCAGGACTCATTTCGTCATAATCCATTGAACAGGTGCGCTGAGTAGTCAAATTTATCTCTGAATATGGCATTCCACCAATCAAAATTAACTTTCGGTCGACGGCTCGCTACTGGGCTTAAGCGTTGGTGGAGGGCGGCTTGCGCTTGATGTAACGCAACTCGAGATGAGGATTGCCTTTAACTTCCTAATTAATGAATGAGTGCTCACCATTGCTAACATGAATTTTAAACGAAAACAATCTACAACGACGATGCAAAGTTTA